TATCTATCTATCTATCTATCTATCTATCTATCTATCTATCTATCTATTCACAACAATAAAACCTTCTTTAATGTTTTGACTGCAAATATGAAGGTTGGGTCAGATTTGATTTACATGTTGTATTTTCCTCCTCTGTGTGAGCCCAAAGGTTTCCGAGCAGATCAGAACCTTTAATCTCTAAAGTGTCAGTCAACACTTACCCCCCCCCCCCCCCCCCGGAAGTCCCATTAATTCGGTAAACAATTCACACCCATTGATGGTCTACATATCTCACAGCATTGATGCGTGGCTGCTGGTGTAATGAGCAAACTTTCGTGGATAAGTGGCACCTTTGCAATCAGAAGGATCAAATGAAGTAGTTAATTAAGACAGAGCATCTTCAGTCGCTGGTCCTCAAAGAGCCACGGGGCAGCTCGTCTCCTTTAGATGTCAGAGAAGCTGGATTAACCAAACAGTGGACCATCGTGAAGAACTAAAAATAAAGTCCGCAAGACACAAGTTAGTGTTGTGCATCTTCTCATTCTTAAGATGGAAGTTAATTAAATTAAATAATTGACTTGTTTTTCTCTCCATATATGGTCGCAAATAATAGATTTTAATTTATGCAAGTTTTTTTTTTTAAATGCAAACTTTGGAAGTTTCATATTTGTTTTCCAAAAATTGTCTTTATTTAAATACAAATGGGGCGCAAAAGTGGTGGACCTTGATAAACATGTCACTGAAAAACAACAACAACAACAACAAACGTTTGATCCCAAAGTGAACGCGTGAGGTTATTGTATGCGCGTCACTGATGTGGACCCAGACACTTTGCATGTCATTATCATTCCACAAACTGTGAAATGCAGTCCTGTGCGTGGATGGCTATTTCCGTGCAGTGGGGCTCTGTTTGAAATTCCACCCCTCTGTCTTTGTTGTGCACAGCGAGGGGCGGGAAGACAAATAGGTCTACATGTATAAAGAGATCATCCCGGGACCGGGAGTCAGGAGACGTCCCAGCATCGCACCGAAACTTTCAGCCAACTTTGGGATTCAGGAGTCAAGGCCATTTGGACTTTTGTCACTTAGATTTTTTTTTTTTTTTAAGCAAAACAGAAAGGATTTATTTCTGTGTTTGTGTAATTAAAAAAAAAAAAAAAAAACGGAAGAGGAGAGAATCATGCAGATGTCGATTGCGCACCGCTTCTTGGCTGTGTATCTCACTGTTTTTGGATGCTTTGGAGACGTTTACGCGAGCGCAGTCCTGGTGAACTCCAACGCAATTAAAAACCCACCGGGTGTTTCGGCTGGAAAAGGCTCTGAGGCTGTCAGTCCAAGTCCGGGCACCCCACCCTCCGGCGGCGCGGGACACAAACCCCCCACGGGCACCTTGCAGGTATAGTAATTATAACTCCACCGCGCGTAAAAGTCAACTCCGTGCGCCTCGTCTGCAGCTGCGTTCACGTCATTTTTTCACATATCTATAACAGGGATGTGTTAAATGACAGTGCTTTTACTTTTATCATCTCACAGCAGTCAGGGGGTTGTAAAGTGAAAGAAGACTGCGGAGGGAATGAGTTCTGCAATGACGCCAGGGGTGTCTGCCTGCCGTGCCGTAAGAGCCGGAAGCGCTGCTTGAGAGACTCCATGTGCTGTGCAGGAAACCGCTGCAGCAACGGTGAGCTGAGAAACCTCATCTGAAATGAACAGTTACATAGTTAGAAAGTTATACCCATAAGATATGGGTTTTATTGAGACAAAAGTGTAGAGCTAAAGCATGTTTTCCCTCATGATTTGTCCCTTTTAGGTGTTTGTCAGGCAAATGACATACATGACACACATGGGTCCTCTGGCTGGCACAAACACAACAACACGGAGCTTCAAGGCAAGAAGACTCCTGCTCAAAGTTTCCCACCTAATGCTGCCAAAGGTAAGATTCCTATCAAGAGTCATCATTCTTAGTTTACAGAAACTAAAAAAAAAAAAGGATGAAAACAAAAGCAAAACAGGTTTTCAGTGTGGGCTGTGTTTATAACATGCTCTTTATCTTTCACCACCTCCAGGCCAAGAGGGTGACACATGCCTGAGATCGACAGACTGCTCCGCAGGCCTGTGCTGCGCCAGACACTTCTGGTCTCGCATCTGTAAACCTGTGCTGACAGAGGGCCAGGTGTGCACGCGCCACCGCAGGAAAGGCAACCATGGCTTGGAGCTGTTCCAGCGCTGCGACTGCGGCGAGAGCCTGGTGTGCCGACCGGAGAAAGGAGAGCGAGATCACAGTGTCAGCAGGACTGCAGCCCGGAACCTACACACCTGTCAGAGACGCTGACACTCACACACACGCACGCAGAGATGTCTTGCGCACACACACGGTCACAGACTGATAAGTCAGTGACTGACACTGACAAATAATCCTCAGCCCAGTGTATACCAAAGATGCTGACACACACTCAGACACACAGCAAGACACCCAACACCCTAGACTGTTCTTTCCTGCCAAAGCTGCTGGCATAAACGCTTCACCCGGAAGGATGGACATGAATCCTGGAAAAGTGATACCCCCAGAGGGATGGAACAGTGTAAGATGAACTTCTCCGGCTCCCCCACCAACAAATGAAGAATCGAAAGTGAGGAAGTGACATTTCAGAAGTATTTAGAGAGTCGATTCATGTTGTCGGTTGTGACAAAGCTGTCTTGTTTCTCTTTTTACGGAACTTATAGCCACGTTTATTGCAGTAAATTACTGCATTGTAAATAATGTCCTGCATGTGGCACTTATTTGAACTAATAAGTCGACACCGGTACAACCGAGACATGGTGCTGCATGTATTTGTAAATATGTTACATATATTATATATATTCTTTTATAAGAAAAGACATATGCAGAGAAATGTGAACTTTTTGTGCCATTAAATTCCTTACGATAACTTTTCTTTCTGTCCATCTTTTGTTGTTTGCACAAAATTGGTTTGAAATTGTTTTTGTCCCACAGTATTTGCTGCAATTAGGATAGATTTTATGAAAAAATGTCAAGTTTTTCAGAAGTCAACATCTTGTGTACAACTCATCATGATTGAATGACTTACTGTAAATCCTCTAATCCAGGGCTATTCAAATGGCGGCCCGGGGGCCAAATCAGGCCCACTGGTGAGCTCTGTTCAGCCCACCAGTGGGCTCATTTTTAAAATAAAACTAGATTTTAAACTTAAACGAGCTTAATTAATGACTAACTGCTGGATGTCCAGCCCCCAAGCTCTTGGCTTTCGGTAACTGCACCCCCCCGAGCAGTTTAATTCACTTGCCCTCCTCTAATCCTTCAGAATATTGTTTTTTCCATTTACTGAAGCAGGTAGTGCTAAATCAGTTCACTAAGTGAACAGTAAATACAGGACGGGATGTGGCCATATCAAATGATAACTGCAAAGTGGTAATAACAAAGCATAAGTGTCCGGGTGAGTGCATGCCACTTCGCTGTGGGCTAGTTTCTAATTATGACTTATTCATGTGCAGCAGAGCAGATAGCTAGTTATCCAGGTTAAAGTCTCTAATTACTTCATCTTACTCAATCTACAGAAGGATTCAAAGAACGAGGTGCAGGGCAACACTTTTTGGTGACGCAACCCTTAAAAAAGGATCTTCACAATCTCTTCCTGGCACATTGGGCAATAGATGCGCTCTAATATATCGGCCATAAAACCTCTCAAATACACCCTGGTGCCTGTAATTAGACTTGTTTAGATTAGAAGATGGTGAGGAAATTACTGTAGTTTTTTTTTTTTTTTTTTTTTGTACTTTTTGCTTGATTTTCTTGTTAGATCAAAAGAAGCACAGACACTAATAACTGAGGCAGATCCAAGGCTTCATTTTTCTGTTTACTTCCAAAAACGCCTGATTTTAAGTTTGGCTGTGGAAAACAGGTTTAGGCTTAGTCGCAGGGTTATTTAACTGGTGACCTGTGGACCATTTCTGGCCTGTGGTCCACAGTTCATAAAAAAATATATATATAATTTTTTTTGTGGGGGCCGTCTATTTATTGCATTTATGATTCAGTGTGATAAAACACATTTAAAAGGTAACATATTAATGTAATATTTGGTTTGTTTACATAATGACTTTAATTGCTGGATGTCCGGCCCCTGAGCTGCTGGCTTTCAGAAACCGTGGCCCCATGAGCAGTTTTGTTGAATAGTCCTGGCTTAGTGTGACTGTCACTAAAAATCAGGGATAATCAGCAGCTTAGGACATAATTCAAATGCTTTTCTGGGATGTTTAGGCAGAGTTGATCAATTTTATTCTTCTTCGTTCTCTGTAAATCACCTCAAAACAAATCAAGTTTACATGTGAATGCATAAGAAATAATGGCCAAATAGTATGAGTGCGACTATTCTGCCTGTGTAATGAGTATTTATAATAAAAGTGCATGTCAGACTTTGGGTGAGTATATTTAAAGCTATCATGGACATCATTTACTGACTTTTTCATGGGGCAGTTTAACATTGTGGCGCTGCTATTTTTATTAAAGTGGGCAGTTTGAGTGAACATTTCACTGCTGCTGAGGACAAACTCAACAATTTAAACATTCTTTATTTCCATTCTTTAGAGTAATTGAGAGTAATGGGAGCATTGTCAGCAGCACAGTTTACCACACAGGCTCCAGCCAAATCGTGTACGTGGGGGTCCTGGAATCTGCGCGAGTGTTTGCGAGCCTGTCATCATTACACCAGCCACAGACTAACACAGGCCACAGGCATGTGCCCCAACTCCAGGACGGCCAGACTGCGTGCACGTACTTTACACACACACTCATTTTGTGGAATCTGGAAAAACAACAGTGACGAAAACTGCACACAGACGCCACCACGTGCACAGTCATGTCCCCGCACGCCGCTTTACAGCTTTTATACGTTTACAAACACAACTGCACGCGTATTTTTCCACATTCTTATAGGTGTACAACAGGGGGGTGTGAACAGTTCGAAGGAAAACAACACTCATTGTGACATTCGTTGTCATGCCATGGGAGGGAATCAGCACATCCACTGACGTGCTTTTCCTCACATGCTTCAAACACTGGCAACATGCCGAGCAGCAAATATTTATCTAAACAACCGGGGTTCATGCTATGGCACTTAGAAAGCCATTATTTATGTATTTGTGCATTCTGTGATGAATATAATAAACAAAACAAGCCAATCTCAGATCTAGATGAATTATAAAAGATAATTATTGCCCATTGCCAGAATCAAAAGTGGCAGTCCATGTGGTTTTATTGTTTGTCATGTTAGCAAAATATGTCGTTCACTGGATTGTTTTTAATGATATAGGCCCACATCTAGAATTTATGAACATTTGGTGTTAACCACATTCATGATGGCCAGCCATGATAAGGCACTGTAGCAAACTGGTTTTAGAACAATTAGTTTTACATCCATTTAGCTACATTTTGTGTTAGTAGCTAATAGTCGTACTCTATTCATCATTTGATCACTAACTGATGTTTACAAGAGTCAACACTTTGTTCATCTGATAAATGTCACTATTTATCACAAATATATCACACATGGAAAATATCACATGAACCACTGGACAGATTTAAAAAAAAAAACACTGAAAATTAATCACTGGATGCACTTCTACAACCGATGAACTTTTAGAGTCAACTAAATTCAAGATGGCCTCCTCTTAAAACCTTAGCAAACATATAACTACAACTCTGTCCATTTCACAGACATTGAACTAAACTTTGGTGTGGTTGTAGCTGAAATTCATCCTCAACATATACTCTGAGAGCCAACACATCTTGTGAGATCTCACATAGGATTGAATAGCAAGGTATTAACAAGATTTGACCAAAATAGCTATACGGTAAGTCCCTCGCTACTTTGCGGTTTGACTTGCACGGACTCGCTTTTTCATGTTTTTTTCTATGATTGTCAACATTAATATTACTCATGTGATTGGGACGGAGGAGATAAAAAGTTAACGAAAAAAATACTTGGGACAAGCGCCATCTTTTTTTAGTTTTCTTTCAAAAAGCCTATACTGTAAGGTAGTCAAAAGGACTACAGGTACACTACCCAGAAGCTAACAGTGCTTCTGGACGCTGCTTTCTTGTAGTTTTCTTTCAATAAGCCTACACTTTATCTCCAGTCAAAAATAACTTCATTACCCAGCAGCCAACAGTGCTTCCAGCAGATGCTTTCTGCCAAAATGAAGGGAAAGTTTTGCAATGCAAATATGCACTATCTATTAAGATTCATTCAACCTTTATTACGACAAGTTAATCACTGAACTGGCAGGAAAGTCGCAAATAATCCTGAAGCTGAACTCATCCTTCAAGTTGTGTCTTCACCTGGGCTGCAGATGATCCGGACTCAGTGTGACCCAGATTTTGTGGGCTGCAAAAAACAGATGGGCGGCGGCGGTGGGGTTCGTCCTGGTTCTGGTCGCGCAGTACTGGTCCGGACCAAGCCGAGGTAGTGGACTAAAGGCTCCCACAGACTCGGGTGTACCTCAGTTTGCGTGGAAACTGTGCGCTCTGTCTGCAGATGGTTGAGATGTCATACTCGAGCGTCCACCCTGAGCGGCTGCAGTCAGCTCCGCAGGCAAGGGGCGTTTACCTTCAGGACAAATTAAGTTTGCCGATTGGTCATTTGCTGACACGCCTACTGGATTGAATGACAGGTCAAAAAAATAATAATAAATAAATAAACGAGAGCTGGTAGCCCCAGCTGCAGTGGTATTCTGTGTTAATAAAAAGTTATATAAAAAAAAAAAAACAGGGAGCGCTGGCCCTGCAACCACCTCTCTTGTAAATGAGTCCCTGAGGCTCAATGGGATTAACTTGTCTAAATAAAGGTTGAAACTGAAACATCAGACCAGCCCACCAGGAAATCTCCACAGTCGTTGCCGAGCAGTTTATTGTGTGACACCGAGTACGCATACGTGGTAGTAAAAATTGAATTTTGCATGGACATGCCCTACAGGTGTCTGCTTCGAGTCTAATCCGGTATGCCCAGACCTCCATGGACTGAGGTCCACCCGACTATGTGGGAGCCTTAATACTGGGCAGTCTTGCAAGTGGAGTGTCCTTCCTGGAGTGGCAGTATGCGCACATCAACCTGGACGGGGTGGGGGGGCTTAAATATGGTGCAGGGTAGCCAATCGGAACCGAGCTTCTGCAGAGCTGGTGAGTACCCATATAAAATTTTGAAGTAGCTTCTGTACGTATACATACGTATGTTGTTAAAATGACCTAGGTTTAAAAGTTTAGAACATCGCAAGAGATTGGGAAGGGTTTATAAAGCCTTAAAATATATATACTAAAATAAATATAGCGTTCCTATTTGTAGTTTTTCAACTATCGTGGGGGTTACATTCCAAACACCCCTGCAATAATCGAGGGACCACTGTAACTCCATCCTTATCAATTCACTCTAACGCTGACGTGAAATGCAGCAGGTGATACGCATTCCTTCAAGAAATGCTGGGTCTTTAATTTGTACACGTTTTAACCACCGCTGTGGAA